CACCGGCGGCAGGTTCTTTGTTACGTATTAATTTTAGATTTCCTTTCGTATTGTCAAACAAGCCATTTACCGCATTTTGTAATTCAACCCAGCTTTTCATCAAGTTTTCAACAACATCTACATAGTTTGTCTCGTTTGTCTCATTAGTATCTACATGTATCTTGTTTTTATCCAACATTGTGGCATAAGTGCAAAATTCTAGACGTGCATTCAAAATTCTAGCTAAATGTTCATTTTGTGGATTTATCGATGTCTTATTATTACCAAAAACTGATGCTGGACGAAAGCGCGTAGGGGGGACAGCAATCACGCTCATAAAAAATATATCTGCACTAACAACCTCAGTCTGAGAATTCGGGTTATCCAATAAAAGTCCTCGTTTGCCATATAATAAAGAACACAGATCAGATTCATTCACAAAGAGCTTATGAAAGTGATCACGCAATGCTTCTGGTGTAACATATTCTTTTGCAGCTTTAGAGTTTTGATTAACGTATGATTGATCTTCCTCGACCAATGAATCCAGATCTTTTGTATCTTGTATGTTGTGTTGTCTAGCATATTGATTTGCTAACTCTTGATTCCTCTGCGCTTTCGAAAATTTGGATGATAAAGCGCATTGAAATATTTTTGAATGACCTTCCTTTTTAAATGTTCGACAATAACTAAATCCATATATAAATTAAGATACATTTCGGCAAAAAAATTAAAAACGATGATTCTTTAACTTACATCTTGCAATTACTGCATTGTTTTGGAGTAGATGACCTTTTCAAAAATTCAGCTATTACATTTTTACGTTCAGCATTGATTGCTGTAGTCTTATAAATTTTCCTATCAACATTCTTCAAACATTTATTTACATATTGTTCTTTAATAAAGAAAAACATATTAGATTAAATAGTAATAAAGAAATTCACGTATAGATACTTGCCAAGCGATCTAAAATAATTATCAGAATCAAACTCAGTAGAATCAACATCAATTGATTTATGATCTTCATCAGTTGTTAATATATCTTCAATAGCAATTCCATCAATTCTTTGAGCTTCCAAAAGTAATCCATAATTTAATAATTTGAGCTTGGCAGTATATCGAAAACTCTAAATATTATAAATTTTGAGATGGGGCGAAATTGATATGAAAATTCCAATCGTCATTTTTACCTCCGTCGCCGCCAATTTAAATCGATGACAGT